TTTTTTTTTTTTTTTTTTTCTGGAGAGACAGGGTTTCACCATATTGCCCACGCTAGTCTTGAACTCCTGGGGTCAATCAATCTGCCCACCTCCAGCGCCCAAAGTGCTAGGATTACAGGCGTGAGCCACTGTGCCCTGTTCATTTTTTTTTTTTTATTGGTTTGGACAGGAAGCAGGATTTATTGGTGGCTGTGAGTAAGCAGGGCTCGCCACTATTCCAGGGGCCCATGATTGGGGGTGTACCTGATGCCATAGCCATCCGGGATGAGCTGCTTTTCAGCCACCGTGTCTTCAAATGGATCTGCACTAAACTTGGTAAAGTCCCACCTCCTTGAGATGCAGGTCTTCTGGTGGCCAGGGAACTTGAACTTGGCCCTGGGTAGGGCCTCAATCACATGTTCCATGTTCTGCAGCTTGGTGCAGATGGACGTGATGCCTTAGCCAATGTGAACCCTGGTCACCACACCCTGGGGCTTTCCAAAGGCGCCTTGCATACCTGTCTGGAGTCTAGACTGGGGTGAGGTCAAAGTCGGAAACATGAACATACATTGGAAAGGGCTATCTCCAAGGTCCCTTAAGGCCATCCCTACATGCAGCAGGCTGTGTATACTACGGAGGGCACTGCTGTTTGCGGCCACTGCATACGAGGAGGGGAGCACAATTAGCTTGACTGATATTCATATTTAAACCTTGGAGCAAACCTGCAAGTTGCTCTAAGGATTAAACATAAGCATTGGCTGGGTGCGGTGGCTCATGCCTGTAATCCCTGCACTTTGGGAGGCCGAGGCGGGCGGATCACCTGGGGTCGGGAGTTTGAGACCAGTCTGATCAACATAGTGAAACCCTGTCTCTACTAAAAATACAAAAAAATTTGCTGGGCGTGATGGTGCATGCCTGTAATTCCAGCTACTTGGGAGGCTGAGGCAGGAGAATCGCTTGAACCTGGGAGACAGAGGTTGTGGTGAGCCGAGATTGCACCACTGCACTCCTCCAGCCTGTGCAACAGAGGGAGACTTGGTAACAACAAAACAAAACAAAACAAAACAAAAAAGAGAGACAGGATCTCCCTCTGGCATCAGGCTGGAATGCAGTGGTGTGATCATAGTTCACTGCAGCCTTGACATGCCGGGCTCAAGTGATGCTTGAATCTCAGCCTCCTAAGTAGCTGGGACTGCAGGCATACACCACCATGCTCAGCCAATACATTTTTTCATCTTTTGTAGAGACAGCGTCTCACTATGGTGACCAGGAAACATAGAATCTTTCTTTCTGTCTCTCTCTCTCTCTCTCCTTCCTTCCCTCCCTCCCT